CATTGTGGGTGAGCCAGTTGATGTTTTTTAATTTTTATTTGGTGTGCGTTGGAAGAGGGGTAGTCTTATACGGTGAGTATAGCCCAAACCCTATATTTTAACAGGAAAATTCGGGGGTCGTCTTATATGCCCAGTCGTCTTATACGCCGGAAAATACGGTACTATAACTTAAGAACCATTTGTTCAGTGCTATTGTAACTTCAAATGGTCACTGAACAAATGGTCATTATAATGTAGTCATTGCCTAATTTAACACATAATTTATGATACATATAGATATATACAGAAGGAGAGAGAATATTGCATAGCAGCCTAAGCAATGTGTGTATCTGGTTTATCCAACTAAATTCTTTAGCAACAAGGCAAGAATGTGTATATTTCTTCATTAAATACATTTGAAGAATAATTTGGGAACCAATTTAGAATTTTCACAATTGTTTGATAGCTAGTTTAGAATGTAATAAATATTATTATTTATTTCATTGCCCTTTTTAATCATGCCCTTCGTGTATAAATCTAACAAATTCATAACTCATTCAGAAAGTGGAAATCTAAAAAAGATAGGAAGCAATGATAAATATTTCATCTGTTCTGTTTTTCTGTTTTTTGATTTCTATACCGCCCTACTCCCGAAGGCCTCAGGGCGGTGCACAGCCAAACAATAAAACACATACATACAAAATTTAAAAGTAGAATAAAATCAAATTAAATACTTTTGGCCCCGACAAATTTAAAATCCCAAACTTTTAAAACCAATTTAAAATTGAATGTATAAAATACTAAAAGATATTTAAAAATTAAAAACCTTTTATAAAAGAGGGAGAAAATGAGGCCATGCCCGCCTGGTGAAATAGTAAGGTCTTTAAAGCGCGGCGGAAGGTGCGCAGATCCGGGATCCTCCGTATCTCTGGGGGGGAGCTCGTTCCAGATAGTAGGTGCCCCCACAGAGAAGGCTCTCCCCCTGGGGGCCGCCAGTCGGCATTGTTTGGCTGACGGCACCTGGAGGAACCCCTCTCTATGGGAGCGTATCGGCCGGTGGGAGGCTATTGGTGGTAGTAGGCGGTCCCGCAAGTACCCAGGTCCTAAGCCATGGAGCGCTTTAAAGGTGGTAACCAAAACCTTGAAGCGCACCCGGAAGACCACCGGGAGCCAGTGCAGCTCGCGCAGGAGGGGTGCTACATGGGAACGCCATGTCGCTCCCATTACCACCCGCACGGCCGCACTCTGCACCAGTTGGGAGCCTCCGGGTGCTCCTCAAGGGGAGCCCCATGTAGAGAGCGTTGCAATAGTCCAGGCGGGAGGTGTCAAGGGCATGAGTGACCGTGCGTAACGAGTCCCGATCCAGAAAGGGACGCAACTGGCGAATCAGGCGAACCTGATGAAAAATCCTCCCAGTCACGGCTGTCAAGTGCTCTTCTAAAGACAGCCGTGAATCCAGGAGGACGCCCAAGTTGCAGGCCCTCTCCGTGGGGGCCAATGATTCGCCCCAATAGTCAGTGATGGCGTCAACTGACTATATCGGGATGTCGGAAACCACAGCCACTCGGTCTTGGATGGGTTGAGCCTGAGCCTGTTCCTCCCCATCCAGATCCGTACGGCCTGCAGGCACCGGGACATCACTTCAAGGGCATCGTTGGGGTGATCCGGGGTGGAGATGTACAGCTGGGTGTCGTCAGCATACTGATGGTACTCCACCCCGAAACCACGGATGATCTCGCCCAGCGGCTTCACATAAATGTTGAACAGGAGAGGCGAGAGGACCGACCCTTGCGGCACCCTACATATGAGGGGCCTCGGGGTCGACCTCTGTCCCCTGTCAACACAGACTGCGACCGGTCAAAGAGAAAGGAGGAGAACCACTGCAACACAGTGCCTCCCACCATTTCAAATAAATGTTTGTTCATTATTTGGTTTCTAGTATATATTCTTTGTTCTTTGTTGGACAATATAGGGGTGGCTGTGTTTCCTTCTGTCTCTCATTTGTTTTTTTTGCCTAAATGTAGAACCTTACTTTTGTCACCATTGATTTTCATTTTGTTATATAGCGCCCACTGTTCAAGATCCTTCTGTATCTTAAGCCTATCTTCTGGAGTGTTGGCTATTCTTGCTAGTTTGGTGTCATCTGCAAATTTGATGAGTTCCCCATCTATCCCCTCGTCCAAATAATTGATGAAGATGGCGTTCCCATGTAACACCTCTCCTGCGCAAGCTGCACTGGCTCCCGGTGGTCTTCCGAGTGCGCTTCAAGGTTTTGGTTATCACCTTTAGAGCGCTCCATGGCTTAGGACCTGGTAATTTACCGGACCGCCTGCTACCACCAATAGCCTCCCACCAACCAGTACGCTCCCATAGAGAGGGTTATTTACAGGACCGCCTGCTACCACCAGTAGCCTCCCATCGACCAGTACGCTCCCATAGAGAGGGGCTCCTCCGGGTGCCGTCGGCTAAACGATGTCGACTGGTGGACATCTCCAGGGGGAGAGCCTTCTCTGTGGGGCACCTACTATCTGGAATGAGCTCCCCCCAGAGATACGGAGGATCTGCGTACCTTCCATCGCGCGCTCAAGACTTTCTTATTTCATCAAGCTGGACTTCCTTGTTTTTCTTTGAAGACGTTTCGCTTCTCATCCAAGAAGCTTCTTCAACCCTGAGCTTCTTGGATGAGAAGCAAAACGTCTTTAAAGCAAAACAAGAAAGTCCAGTTGTCTCTTGAAAAAGCACCTTTGGGAGCTCTTCTTCTTCCTGATCACATCTGTAATAAGTGTACTCATATTATGCTATCCAAACCAAATTTACAGCATCAGGGATCTGTCCCTTTAAGTATAACAGAGTTGCTATAATTGTTGATAACAGCTCAAAATGCTCTCCCATTTAAAAAAATTAAAGACTATAATCTTGTAAGCAAACCTAACATAATAAAATCACTACCAATGAGTAATTCTGATATAAAGAATTGCTAAACTACATAAAACATATAACTTACTGTGGAAACATAAATAAAATATAAAAACAGAAAAGAAATTAAACTTAGTGCAGTTCTTAATCTTTTCTTGCTACTCAGCAGAACAGGTAACCGGTAACCCTTGGAACACAGGTTATTTTTGTGTTAATTTTGTTACCTGTAAAATGGATGATTGAGAATCTCCATAGACAAGCAGAAGAAGAGGATTCACAGTTATATGCCTGCCAGACTTCCTGATATGTTACTGGTATTATGGCAAAAATAATCTACGAAGAAAATGAACAGATGGGAGAGGGTGCAAACAATCTTTTATTAATGTAAAGCTATTAGGTTATAGTGAGTCTCACGCATTGTTGTAACATGCTCAGGAGCTACGTGCAGGCATGAGAGAATCATGCTGTACCGCGTATGCGAAAAACTAGATAAAGGTTGCAACAACTCATAGATAACTGTAACAACTCACTAGCAGCTAGGATTGTAGATCCTGCCAAATTTGGGCATTGCTTCCATGTATTACTTGTACTTACGTATGCATTACATGAGACATGCTGTGATTTATTACTGGCTTATGCTAACAAACCCCTCCTGCCTTTGTTTGTGTACAATAAAAGAGGCTCCCGGAGTCAGATCTGGGTCGTCTCATCCTGAGAAAACTCGTGTCCGTGTCTTTTCTCAATATTGACCTCATGGGCGGCCCACGGAAAACTCACAACGCATCCCAGCAAAGATCAAAAGCCACAACGTTACATAGATCTTATAAAAATGTTGATCAAAAACAGTTTGAGCATCAATTTTCTCTAGCAGATGACCCCAAAGAAACAGTTGTATTACTGCTGATAAGGAAACACAGGGAGTTGAAGGTACCCTTCATGGTGTGAAAACATTAAACATATTTCAAGAAGAGAGCCATTAACAACTTTGGTAAGTGACTTATACCAAGGCTGTAATTGTTATTCTAAAAAGCAGATAAGCAAATTCCTCAAATCTTCTGTTTTCCCCACCAAAATGTGAACTTTAATCAGTCACTACCAGACACAGATTTGTACAATAATAAAAGTTCATTCTGAATGATGTTAAGCATGCAGGTCTGCAACATGTATATACAAACACACACACACACACACACACACACACACACACACACACACACACAAGAAGCTACATTCATATAAGTAACCATAAGCATGATTATACAATTGATTTATCTTGAGGTCTTATTCTAACCCATCACACTGGTGATTTAAAAAAGGAAATTATATAAGGAAATTAAAATTCATCTGAATATATGAGTATTTTACTACATAGGTATCAGGCAGTGCCTTATTTTACAAGTTGATAAGAGAATAATGTGCTACTGTGTTTCACAGAAATATCTTTAATGGTGCCAAAGTTGCATAAACAAAACTATTGAAACAGTGTTTGAGTTAGTTGTGACTGTCCTCTTTTGTCAAATTAATTAGAAGCTCCAGATGCATTTAAAGATTCAAAGATTCTCTGTTGTATCTTTATGAATTAAAGTGTCCTCTGGCTCAGCAAATGACTGAGATTCATATTCAAGGCCAAACTTTGTTATTTCAGAAAGAATTAATTAATAAATTGCTCTACAATTGTAGTTAAAAAAATTGAAGTTTTAATTACATATTAAGCAGTATGCACTCATTCTTTCTGTTAGCAGAAATCTAGTTAGGTGTTTTTTTTTTTGTCTAAACATGGCGTTGTTTCTGCTAAGCATGCATTAATTTCTGGTAAAATGTTTTTTTCCTGAAATGACATGTGCATTCTGAATAAGTAATCTATTTGTATAAGTCATGTGGAGCCAGAGATTGAAGACCCCTCAATCCTCATATGAGATCCTAGCCTGCAGAGAGCTGTTCAACAGTGTGAGTTGTGCTATATGTTTCCTGTGGCATAGGAAAATGTGCTTCTTTTATTTTTTGATTCAATACATAGAACAAATCAACACAATGGTTTCTTAAAGAAAGCCATCTTTTTTTAGGGACTGCTCTCCACGCTCTTACTATGTGTTTGGATTTTTTAGAGCCATAATAATTAGAAATGGAGAGGTCATTCCAATGTCTTCAGAATTCACACCAGAAACAGAGCGTCAGCGGCTTCAGTATCTGGTAAGAGGCCTAAATCCTTATATTAGTAGATGGTAAGAATAGATTTTTTAAACCAAGGTAAACAACTTCAAATTCCAGGACTGCAAACTCCCCAAAGCCCAGAATTGTTGCCAAATTATTGCTTTTTAATATATCTGGAGATGATTAAATACGTGAAGACTAACTGCTGAAGTTGTTATTGTTGTTGTTGTTGTTGTTGTTGTTGTTTAGACTTCTATACCGCTTCATAGTGCTTTACAGCCCTCTCTAAGCGGTTTACAAAGTTGGCATATAGCATATTGCATATTGCATATTGCATATTAGCATATTGCATTAGCATTAGCATATTGCCCCCAACAATCTGGGTCCTCATTTTACCCACCTTGGAAGGATGGAAGGCTGAGTCAACCTTGAGCCGGTGAGATTTGATCTGCTGATCTGCTGAACTAGCAGTCAGCTGAAGTAGCTGCAGTACGGCACTCTAACCACTGCGCCACCTCGGCTCTAAAGTTCCCTGACTTTAGAAACATGTCCAGTTCCTAAAAAAGCTGTTGCACAACACTATGTGCCATCAAATTGGTGTCCTCTCTTAGTGATCATATAGATAGATTTTCTCTATGACAATCTGTCCTAACCTGGTCTTTCAGGTCTTCTAACAATACCCCTCATGCCACTGTAACTGAGTCCAACCATCTTACTGTTCTTCTTCCCCTTCCTTCCACCTTTCCCAGTATTAGAGCTAGTTCTTTGCCTAATGTATCTGAAGTAGGATAATTTTAGCCTAATCATTTGTGCTTTGAGTGTAAACTCTGGGTTAATTTGTTTGATAATACATTTGTTTATTTTCTTGGATGTTCGTGGTATTCTTAGGACTCTTCTCCAACGTGGCAAAACTTACAAAGCAATCATCATCACTCGACCCTCATTGCAGTCAAGATCTATGGCAGAACATACTGCAAAGCAATAGAGAATCTGTGACATTAATCACTAACAGACCAGTATAATAAAACATTCATGTACCATCCCTGCATTACACTAAATACTACTATATTTTTATTTGTCAAATTCAGAGTGGTCTGATATATTATTCCCTCTGTGTCTTCGTAGTTATGAGAATATTGATGGCGATTTCTGTTCTTCCTATATCCATTTCTTAAGGCAAGAAGAGCCATTTCTTTATCAGGTCTGCCAAGTGTGGCTTTTATATAAATTTCCAGAAAAAGTAGCTAACACCTCAAGCAAATGCTACACATAGATTTGTTTCTCCCCCCTTCCTCCCTTGTGTCCCTTGCTTTCTCCTGTAATCTCTAGTGCACCATCATTTTAGTGGCCTTTCCTCCCACTGAGGCTGATTGGGGCAGGTTTGAGAGACCAGATGGCTTTTCCTTTTTACAAATACTTGCTCTTCAGAACATAGGTTGCTGGCTGTAAAAGCAGGAATGAAGGACATAGGAAGAGCGGACTGTTGTTGTTTTTCACAAGTGTTTTAAATGTTTTGGAAGATAGAACTACTTTAAGAGTATGCAGGTTTACAACAACAATTGCAGAGCAAATATAATGAATATTCATGCCTCTGTCATTTAAATAATTTGTGTGCCTTTAAAATCAAGGAAGTTCTGTGGCATTTTTAGAATATGATCTTACCTGAAGGAACCAGAATCAGAACATTACTTCCTTTTTTTCTGATTGGACTTAAAAATGCTTCTATTATTTCCCTAAAACGTATGTATTTAGTTCGTTTCCATATGTAGCAAATGTATAATAAAGGTGAAATTGCATTAGAGAGAGTTTCAAAAGCAATGGAAATTATACTGTACTGTATGTAATGAGAAGAAATGTCACGTTATACAGTACTTAATCTTTTTGTTCCCCAGTCTTAATGCTGCTTACCACAAGATGTTGGGATGACACGTGCAGTTCCCCCACCCCCCCCCCCCCCCCCCCCCAAAAAACCCCAGCAATTTTGTTTTTGTTTTAGGGATATTAGCTACATGCTACTAAATTTATAATGAACATGCACTGAAACCATGTCAGATTTCAGCATCAGTAGCATATATATTTTTACAAAATAGGTCTTCTATTTTGTTCTTTTGTAAAAGAAACAATTTTGAAGACCAGAAAAATGTAACTGCCTTACCAGATTTGTGAGAGTAAAAACAGCAGCACTCAGAAAGCAGAGGAAGATGAAAGTTTTGATACAGCAGTTTATGAACAGCTCTCTCATTAATTTCTTTAAAAATTTGTTTTAGGCAGAAATCTATTGTCTGCTAAGTTTATGAATCTATGGATTTTCCACTAATTAAGCAAATGATTTGTATGCTTTTTAAATTGTTCATTCAGTTTTATTAAAGAAAGTTGGTATTTGAGATTGGCTGATACAGATTGTTGGCAATGAGACTCTTCTGTTTGGGCAGTCAAGTGAGACTGAGTCTAGATATCACTTTCCCCAATAGTTTCATCTTCCAAGAAAAGCTGAGGGTATTGGCAATCTATTAGTCTAGCAGTCTGCCAACAGCTCTTATGTAAGATGAGAAAATACAAATTAATATTACTAAATTGTGACGCTCTGCCCTAGCTCAGTATAGGATCAAATGTATAAGCAGCTTCTCCCGATTATAAATGCTAGAAGAAAGTGCAGCAATTGTGCAAGCTCAACAATTAAAAGGTGTAACAGGGGTTTTGGGATCGTTTGACGAGACAAGGATGTGAGTTGTAATTATGGATTTCTGGGATGATTGCCCAGTCAATGTCCTCTTTTAATTTACAGGCATATATGCAACCCCATTTGCTGGGAAATGAATTTACACACTTGGAATTTCCAAGGAGAGTTCAGCGGAAGGAAGTTGGGAAAAGAATGCTTTATCGAGATTTCAGCATGATTGGCTGGTAGGTACATACTCCTTTTTGGAAAAATGAAAAATATGTTTTAAAAACTTCCCTACAGATGTGGTTGTACATATACAACATCTAGAAATATAAGGGTATGATAATAATATACATTTCAGTTACAAAACTAAAGAGACTATATTGGAACCCAGATGTGGAAAACTGGTTGTGTCAAAACGTGGGAGAGCGGGTGAAAACAAAAGTTCAGTCTTGTAATTTTTTTCCCTGGTGGGGGAGGATGGAGGGGGTTGATAGGTGTGGGGGCGCTGCAGCATCCCTGGGGCCAGTCATAAGGGTGAAGGGCCATAAGGGGTGCTGTAATGGCTGTAACTTTGGATCATAAGTAGCTTTTGGTAACTGTAAAAAGACCTGTCTTTTTAAGACTTAAGTCTTAAAACGTAAGTGACAAATTAGCACTTTGTTTACATCTCCCTCTAAATCTTTATTTTTTTCTGATTTTTTTTTTAAATTGAGGTGGTGCTTGCTTTTCTCTGGAAACATTATATTTTAATCAAGTTGGTTTTCCTAACATGCCTGCTGAATATGACACTGATGGAGTTTTTCCTTTGTGTAATTTAGAAACTGCTTTGCAAATATAGTTACTGTAGGCCTTCAGCTTTCATAGTTCCACAGAATGTTGTGTGTGGCTCACAAGGAGATAAGGGGAATGGTAGATGAAGGCAAGGCCAATCTTGTCCTTTCCAGTCCTCTGATATAAATAGCTTTATAGAGTCAAGCATTAAAGTCCTATTAGGCTTCATCTTGAGAGTCATCTAATAAAAGAGACTCCACTGACAGTCTCTATTAGTTTTGCCACAAATACCAAAATAAAATTTAAAGTGGCAGCATCCCTTTCCCTGGCCTGGATTTATCTTCAGTCTATAACAAGGGACTTTATTAGTTGTTGCTTTGCCTTATTAAGGGCAATGGTCTTTCCTGCTAGATTGAAAAGAGTGTCAGCTATAAAGACTACTGAGCGGTTGTCTGTGTTCTGTTTTCACTTATTGAGCTGTGCTTTGTTTCCAAATCCACATCAGTTCCCAATATGAACTGTGGTTCAGTCACCCAGATAATATATAATGCATGGGTGTGTATTAGACCGATGTTTCTCAACATCAGCAACTAAGATGCATAGACTTCAACTCTCAGAATTTCCCAGCCAGCATACTCTCTTAGAAGTCTGCAAAAGAGCAGTGATTTTCTCTTAATGATGTAACTAAACCTTTCTCTTCAGTTATGCATACAATTTTATCCATGTACAGCTAGTCCTCAATTTACAACAGTTAATTTAGTGAGCATTCAAAGTTACAGTGGCACTGGAAAAAGTGACCCATGACAGTTTTTCACCATTACAATCCTTGCAGCATCCCCATGATCATGTGATCAGAATTCAAACACTTGGCAACTGACTCATATTTATGACGGTTGCAGTGTCCAGGAGTCACATGATCACCTTTTGCAACCTTCTGACAAGCAAAGTCAACGGGAAAGCCATTCACTTATCAACCATGTTACTAACTTAATAACTCCATTTAACAACAGTGGTAAGAAAGGTCATCAAATGGGGCAAAACTCACTTAACAAGTGTCTCACTTAGCAACAGAAATTTTGAGCTCAATTATGGTTGTAAGTCGAGAACTATCTGTAGTTCCCTTTTTAAAAAGCTATTTAGGTGGACAGCTGAACTTCCCTCTTAGACAAACGTGTAATTGGATGATTTTTTTTAATGTAATGTAGCTACAGCTTCCACCAACTGGCAAGCAAACAGAGAAATAACCTCCCCAGAAATATTAGGTTATATGGAGATAATTGGGCTCCAGGTCTTTTTTGATTTCTGACTATGTATGCAGGTGGCATAGAGCTTCATGGATTTTTTTGGAGCCTGGTTTAGTGATGATAAATGGGTTCACACAACATGCATTTTCTGCATTTTGCTCAAGATTTGCAGCCGTGGCTCCAATAAAAACAAGGAGGGGGATTTGACCTGCTGTGTATTCTGCACATCTCTTGGCAGTGACAAATGAGCTTGTTTTCTGTAATTGCACATATGGCAGAGAAACAGAAACAGTGGCATTTGGGCAGGATGAGCTGGAAAAAAACAACAAACCTCACAGATAGCTCCCTCAATTGATGAGGAACAAGTTAATCGTTTAAAATTTAGGGCTCAACTTCACCACCATCCTGCCAAACTGGCATGAACACGTAATACTTTTTTCTATGAGTTCATGATCACATCTACACTCATCCCTGACCCGCAGCTCAAGCAACTTCCATGCCCAAATGTCTATTTGAGACTCCATTCCCATGGTTGCTGCTGCTGCTGCTGCTGCTGTCCATGACCATTTCAGCTGGGATAGAGCCTCACTTGAGCAGAAGTACCTGGCCCTGGTATGGCAGCCTGGTGCCTTCTGAAGCCCTTTCCAGTTTTAATGGAGCATCCTTATTGTATATTAATTTAACATTAGAGTTTAGTCTCTTTTGAAAGAGTGCTTTAAAAAACAACATCCTGTTTAGAAATTTGATTTAAACCTGGAGCCAGTGATGGTTCCTGTCAGCTAGATGTTGCTGGCTATGTCTCCAGCAAGGTTTTACATGGCCATGCTATTTGTTACTTTGAGAGGGTATGAATGTCCTCTTTTTTTCTACTCCTTCTCCATTTTTTGGCTATCTTTTGGTTGCTTCCATGAGTTGTTAGACATGATGTTATTTCCTTGTGGGGTTAGCTGAGGATGAAGTTGTGGAAATTCACTTCTCTTAACTTGTCTCACATTAAAAAACATAAGGACAGGACACTTGCAGGTCTTGAGACAAAACAGGGATTAGTAATGAGGGGAGCACAAAATTTAGGCTGCCATGCCCAAGACTGCAAGAAAACACTAAGGTGGCTATCTGGCTATGCCTAGATTGGAGCTATACAATACTTCCTGTTTGGGTCCTTGCATTGCTTCATCATGAAAGATTTTGCTTTTACTTCCAAGTTGTTTTAGGGCATGGAATCTTTTTTTTTTTTTTTTTTACATATTTTGGTTTTGCTTTTGAAATGCACTGTCAATCTCTGCTTATTTGTTTTGGAGATCAGTGTAATGCCATAGCTAGGCTGAGCAGCTGGAAAAAACAGATTCAGATTCTCATTCAGTGAAGTAGCTGATTGGTTTTGTTCCTGCCCTCTTTTATCTATCTCATTAAAGAGGTACCTCTATGCTATATTCTTTTTCTATTTTTTTAAAATAATTCCTTCCTTTCTTCTTTCTTTTCTTTCTTTTATTAGATTTATATACCGCCCTACTCCCGAAGGACTCAGAGCGGTGAACAGGCACAAAATAAAATACATAGATACAAAAGTTAAAAGATATAATTAAAACCAGATTAAATAATTTAGCCCGAGACAATTAAAAAATCCCAATAATTTAAAACAGATTAAAATTTCAATTTAAAAGAATTTTAAAACAAGGGAGAAAATTAGGCCAGGCCGGCTTGCTGGAATAGAAGAATCTTAAGAGCACGGCGGAAAGTGCGTAGATCCGGGATCCTCCATATCTCTGGGGGGAGCTCGTTCCAGATAGTGGGTGCCCCCACAGAGAAGGCCCTCCCCCTGGGGGCCGCCAGTCGACATTGTTTAGCTGACGGCACCCGGAGGAGCCCCTCTCTATGAGAGTGTACCGGCCGGTGGGAGGCTGCTTGTGGTAGTAGGCGGTCCTGTAAATAACAAGGTCCTAAGCCATGGAGCGCTCTAAAGGTGGTAACCAAAACCTTGAAATGCACCCGGAAGACCACCGGGAGCCAGTGCAGCTCGCGCAGGAGAAGTGTCACACGGGAGCACCATGTTGCTCCCATAACCACCCGCACGGCCGCACTCTGCGCCAGTTGGAGCCTCCGGGTGCTCCTCAAGAGGAGCCTCATGTAGAGAGCGTTGCAGTAGTCCAGGTGGGAAGTGACGAGGGCATGAGTGACTGTGTGTAGGGAGTCCTGATCCAGAAAGGGACGCAACTGGCGAATCAGGTGAACCTGATGAAAAATCCTCCTGTTCATGGCCGTCAAGTGCTCTTCTAAAGACAGCCGTAAATCCAGGAGGACACCCAAGTTACGAGCCCTCTCTGTGGGGGCCAGCGATTCGCCCCCAATAGTCAGCGATGGCGTCAACTGTCTATATCGGGACGTCAGAAACCACAGCCACTCGGTCTTGGATGGGTTGAGCCTGAGCCTGTTCCTCCCCATCCAGATCTGCACGGCCTCCAGACACCGGGACATCACTTCAAGGGCATTGTTGGGGTGATCCGGGGTGGAGATGTACAGCTGGGTGTCGTCAGCGTACTGATGGTACTCCACCCCGAAACCACGGATGATCTCGCCCAGCGGCTTTACATAAATGTTGAACAAAAGGGGCGAGAGGACCGACCCTTGTGGCACCCCACATATGAGGGGCCTCGGGGTCGACCTCTGCCCCCTGCCAACACAGACTGCAACCGGTCGGAGAGAAAGGAGGAGAACCACCGTAATACAGTGCCCCCCACCCCTAACTCTTCCAACCGGTGCAGCATGATACCATGGTCGATGGTATCAAAAGCCGCTGAGAGGTCTAATAGGACCAGGACAGAGGAGCAACCCCTGTCCCGAGCCCTCCAGAGATCATCAACCAACGCGACCAATGCCGTTTCCGTGCTGTACCAAGGCCTGAAGCCCAACTGGAATGGATCCAGATACGTAGTTTCATCCAGGTACTGGGGGAGCTGTCGCACAACCACACTCTCAACAACCTTCGCAACAAAATGAAGGTTGGAGACCGGACAATAATTAGCCAACACTGCCGGGTCCAGGGAAGGCTTCTTGAGGAGAGGCCTCACCACCGCCTCTTTCAAGGCGGCGGGGAAGTCACCCTCACCCAACGAAGCATTTATAATCCCCTGGAGTCAGCCTCGCGTCACCTCCCGGGAAGCCAGCACTAACCAGGAGGGGCACGAGTCCAATAAACATGTGGTCGCGTTCCTCAACTTACAACCATT